CAAAACGCATGTTGTCCTCGAACCCAGTCAATAAATGTATAGTGTATTTTAACAACCATTTCTCAATGAATCAAATTTGATTAATTTACATGAAAGTATGATATACTCGTATATTTGTTGGTTTTATTTTATCAGATTATTTTGGAGGATTTGTCATTGACCCACTTATATGTTGGTATGATTTTTTGTGGCAGCATCAATTGCAATTTTAGATCAACATTTTATTGTATTTCCCTGAGTTTCAAAGTAAAGTTTGGTGTATTATATCAATATTTGATTATGCTATCAATATCATGCCAAAAAATATAAAATAATATAAAATCTTTAAAACCTATAAGCATTGTACTTTATTCAAAATCTTCATGTTCCTTTTCTGCATGAAAGAATTCAGTCGTGAGAATTAATCAAACATAATCATTGAATTTGTACTAAGGAAAAATAAAACAATTCAGAATAATACAAATGATGAGACCTGCTTATTATTTGGTCATAGATTTTTTGTCCAAAATTCAACTTCCCAAATTCCAACTTGTATGCATGTACATATATGTTTAAACACACAGAGATCTTTTGCTGGGTTTGGATTTTGCTTTTTTTAAAATAAAGGAATGAATTTTGTCTTTTTGGATCAACACAATTAATGTATGTACATCTTTTTTTTCATGAAATAATTTTGTGCAGGGGTAATATTTTCAGTATGTTTATATTTGAAATGAACATTTCTCCTTGACAACAAGAAAATTTCAAGCAATCTCTTGAAAAAGAATATGACAGCAATTCAGTTTTATATGAAATTAAAATTTGTAGAAGAAAAAAAATAACTCAGATATCTTGTACAGAGTAGAGTTTACTTAATGAGAAAAGGAAAAGCTGATACAAGTGTTATGTTAAGCTGACTTTCCTTTGTATAATTGATATTTAGCTACAAGAAAAAAGTAAGCAATATGATTTCTTCCATACTGGGCCAGAAACAATAGTGGATGATTTATTGTGTAATTATACAAGTACGTGGAACCTTTCTTCAGATTCAATCTTCTACCGACATCTCATAACTCCATTGTATATTACTTCTGTTTATCCTCATTAAGAATAGCGAATTCTCATTAATTAAAATCAAATAATACAAGCAATGAAAAGTGACTTCTTGTGGAGAATTATAGGCTATGACACTTCAATTACAAAAAACATACACAAGATATTAAATTCTAATTCCTAGGGAAGCCAAACAGATATGTTACTTCAATAGTAAAAGCAATTCTTTAGCTTGAAGAAAAATAGTAAAAATCGGGAGAAATGTGGCCACATCCATAATTACGGCAGAATGATAGAGTATCCCTCAGTCCTCCGAGAGCCCGCGTTTGTTATGCCATTGGGCCCAGTTTAAATGTCAGATTCAAACAGATAAAAATTGGGGGAACTTTATGGAATCTGTCAAAGTTGCCATACTGACAGGATCCCCCATTTATCAGTAACTTCCTCTGTGATCAATCCATTTCCTGTGATCACAGTTCATACAAATTTCTCACCTTCCCAATCCTCCAGCAGTCTTAGTAGCAGCACTCTAGAGGGGGCCATGGCACCTCACTCCAGACTAATGCTTGTCTATTTTAGCACCAACAATATTTTCCATTAACTTCTTTCCTTTGATTTTTTTTCTCATCATAATCACAGTTTATTTGCCCAAATTTCTATATTTTGCCATAAAATATTTATGAAAGACCTCATACTGTAAATAGAGGAATAAGACTCTCTCTCTAAGGATATGAGAAATACTTAAGACTAATACACACACAGATAAAGCATTTTTTTCTCCCATTTCTCTTGATTTCTCTGCATTGTAACAACTAGATGGCCATAAACAATTCCCTTGGTAAATGAACAATACTTTTACACAGAGAGTAAGAACACTATATACCGGTACATCATCATAACATCTCAGGACCATGTGACCATTCAATGCTTAGCAACATAGTCTGGACAATGTGACCATTCAACGATTAGCAACATAGTCTGGACCATGTGACCATTCAACGCTTAGCAACATAGTCTGGACCATGTGATAGTCTGGACCATGTGAGCATTCAATGCTTAGCAACATAGTCTGGACCATGTGATAGTCTGGACCATGTGAGCATTCAATGCTTAGCAACATAGTCTGGACCATGTGACCATTCAACATTTAGCAACGTAGTCTGGACCATGTGATAGTCTGGACCATGTGACCATTCAACGATTAGCAACATAGTCCGGACCATGTGACCATTCAATGCTTAGCAACATAATATGGACCATGAGACCATTCAACGCTAACATAGTCTGGACCATGTGACCATTCAACGATTAGCAACATAGTCCAGACCATGTGACCATTCAATGCTTAGCAACATATTATGGACCATGAGACCATTCAACAATTAGCAACATACTGTAAATCAGCTTTTATTCGCGAGAACTTTATTTCGCGTAATTTCGCGAGGCATTGTGCTCGCGAAAATTTTATTCTCGCATTTTAGTATTCCTTAAGATTATGTAGAGCAATAACCAAAATTAGTGAGAATTTTTTTTCGTTAATTAAGAGTACACGACTATCTCACGAAAATAAGGTGTCGCAAAAATTCAGTGATCTCCAGTAGTCCGAACCATGTGACCAATCAACACTTAGCAACATAATCCAGACCATGTGACCATTCAATGCTTAGCAACATAGTTTTATAATTCATTTTTAAGGTAATGATAATGCAGATGACTTTGTGATTAATTAAACTGTCTAAAAAAATTTCTGTAAATAACCAATCCTTTCAAAAAAGTTTTTTTCTGGATGTGAACTTTGACCCCTCATCACCCCTGACCTATGTACTCTTTCAAGTAACATCAATGTTTTTTCATCTGAAGACTTCCTTTTTCATTTTCAACTAAACCAACTTAAGATAAAATTAGTGTATAAGAAGTTGATTTAAAAGCAGGGATTAAGATTTATTGATCTCAATACTGCAAGAAAAACAATCAGAAAATAGTAGATGCTTTCCTAAGATGACGGCCATTCCTTCATCAAGGTTCACCATATTGATCTATTGTTATCCTATTCCATCAAGACACCACGAGTAAAAATATACTGTTCATTTTGTTCTCGAGTTTGAATTTAGGAGCAACTTCTCCTTTGAGAATTCTGTGTTTGACAAGCACCTTGTCAAACCTAGAGAAAGTTTTAACAAATGGTTATTAATGACACTGAGATTCTTCACAATGTCCTCTTCATATTTCCCAAGGTTCTAATGAATTCAAAATTAGCTATTTTCTTGCTGATGAAAATTGGGAAGCTTGTAATTTTTATTGCCTTTGCAATCAAATTAAAACACTGTCGATGGTAATGTTGATCAATATGTATGAGAAATTATTTCAGCGTAAAATTAAGTTGATTTGTTCATAACACCATAGAAGATTATTTGTCTTTATCAAAGTTAAGGAGTTAAAAATAATGTTTTTCTAAGAATCCACAGATTTAAAGAAAGACAACTCTTCATAAACCATGGAGTTCAGAGTTGAAAAAAGTTTATACTTATCAATGCATAGCAAAATAGTGATCCCCTTTGTGAAGGACAAAAGTATAAAAGAAATAAAAAATTCTTAGTCCTGTGCTTAATTTTACTGTCATTTCACATTACATGTACCAACATGTATAACATACATCTACTTTTGATATGATGTACTAGACTGCTTGTCAAAAATTAAACAATTCTGTTAGAGAAGCATAATCAGAGAGGATTGCTCATCATAAGTTTTTTTAGTTACAAAACATTTTTTTTTTCAATACAAATAGTGTGTTTTTATCATATGATTAAGAGATTTCCAGTCTGATCAGCTAGAAATATCTGTTTATCTGGAAAAAACATGTATATGCCAGATAAAAATTACTCAAAATGCTTGTATGTAAGTTGTGATTCCATTATTTTGGTTTGTGGACATTATATCACAATAGTATGATCCTTAAAAGTAGAAAATTTTGCTTCAATGGCATGATTTGATGAGAAAATGATTTAAAAAAGAATGTTTTAGAATATTAATGAACTTGGATTTGGTCAATACCATTATATAGTTGCTCTCAAATATCACATTTTGCTCACCTTTAGGGTCCTCCTTAAACTGCTACATAAACATACTGACCTCATACAAATGAATAATTTTATCATAATTGTATCATTTAAGCCATTTTACTCTGCCCTTATCCAAATTCATAGCATTTTTGACAAAATATTTTATTCAGGTAACACAATGCTCATGATGGAGTTTTCACGAGTAACAAGTCAAACAGGTACTGTCACACATACTTTTGTGTTTACTTGCGTTCTTAATGAGAAAGGCAGTAATCATACCTAAATTTATATACCAAACGTTGCCTTTAGTACCTAGAATTTTTCATGTGGCACTTTTTTTCATAGTGTTTTTCAATGAAAATATTTATTCTTGTAAAACCACCCTATAGTAAAAACACCCTAAGCTAACAACTGCACAATTTTTTTTTTTTGGGGGGGGGGGGGGCATATTTCACTTTCGTAAGAATATATGGACATTTTTTTGTAACCAAAACAGGTTTCCCTGGCATCTATCAGGAAGAGTAAACAGAAAGCTTAGAGGTGTTGCTGAATGCCAAAAATGACCCATACACAATTCAAGAATGTCAGGGCTTTCAAAAAGATTAGAAACAGGCGGTACTTTTACAAAACTGGGAGGTACCTTGTAGAGGCAATTTTAATAAAATATGATATCAAATTTTTCTCCATCAAATATTTTGGCCAGTAAAATCTTGATTTCAGCTGGGTAAAAGTACCAGGTACCGGCAGCTTTTGAAAGGCCTGAAATGCTAACTTACATACTGTGTATGACATATACTACTTACCTTGTCTTCTTCATCTGTCTACATAACTTACCCCAATCTTCTGTTGATACTTTTTAATTGAGAACTTTGACCTGTATAACACATTTAGACAGCCACATCAACTTACCCTTCCCAGACACATCCTTTTATTCATGGCGGCTAAGGCTGCAGCGGCCGAGGCATGGTCGTAGAACTCCACAAAGCAGTATGGATCCACTGGCCCCTTCAATAGCGAATAATATATGTTACCAACATACAGACAGCAACACACACACAATATCTACTACTAAATCGCCAGGAGCTTCATGGGCTCTGTTTTAGCGAATCTCTTCCCCCCAAAAGCTTTTAGTTCACCTATATTCCTGGAATTTTTTTTTTTAGATTCACATTGGTCTATTTTCTAATCTATCCCCATGACCCCTTTTCATTTGTATAGCTTCTTCAAACCTCAACTGTGAATTGTTTAACACATCTGTGAGACAAGCTATGTGGTAAAAAGTCACTTACTTCTACCGACTCCATAACTGGAACTCTTCATTGAGGGAGGTATATAAAAGAGAGGTCAAAGGTCATTCTCCTTAAGAATCAAATGAATGATTAACACTATTACACGTTTGAAAATTCAGATAATTCTACAGAAGGTTAATAATGCTATAACACAGAGAAGAAGAGAAAAATGGTACCTTCCATCAACTTTTTCTTTTCCTGCTTTTTCCCCAGTTGAGGTTTTTTTTCCTCAGAAAAAATAATAAAGATTGGCTTACCTCCCTTATACAGCACCCATAGGGACAGAACATAGATCTGACAAAAGGGTTGTTTTTAATCAAATAGGGGCATTCAATTTTTCAGAAATGTTTTTAAAAGGGGACATGAAGAAGCTGAACATTTCAACTGAAGCAAATGTTTGAAGGATGAGTCTGAGGTCCTAAAACCAACTTCTGAAAGAAATTGGGTCAAAAAAGGTACAAAAATGTGATAAAAAGGTCTAACCTGCAAAAAGTCTCTGCCACAGCTGGTTACTGAACAATACACACAGTTAATAAGATTATAATACAATAGTAAAATAAATACATCTCACATGAACAGACTAAGCTGGAACCTCGGAAATCACTGGGATTCCTTGTTCCTGGGTTCCGCTGCAACACCCGGCTGTAAAAGCCAAATCAAGTCCACTCAATTCTCTATCTGAGAGCACCTGCTCCCTAATAGGAGCCTTATAGATACACAAAGGTGCAACAACTGACAATACCAGCATTGTTGATAACTGAATGTGCATCACATACAGGCACCATTTTATTTTATTTTTTTAACAGTTCAATGGTTTGTTTTTTGTTTCCAAGAACAACATAACCATGTTTTGTTGCATTCAATTACATGAAGGAAAGAGTTGCAAGTATGCATTACTTTAAAAAGGCTTTTCCTATACAGATAATGTTGAAGTGTTTGAGAACAAGGGATTGATTCAGCAGACATTCTGCTGTTCCCTGATTTCCTACTGATTCATAAATCAAAACAGAAGCTTGTTGCAACATTTCTTATGTCATTTTATATAAAACAAGTTATTTACCAAGTGTATGTAACATCGATCTTGAAGAAAAATAACATATTGCTCATATACTTTGTTGCTCATGAATCTTAAACTTCCTTGGACCATCATGCATAAAGAAAACAGCTCACAGAAAACTCAGTTCATATATATAACTGAATTTTGTTACAAGTAACCTAACACTTGCACTTTTCATTTTAGGTTAACTTTTTTTTGCATCATGATGTGTTGTTACATTTCAAGAAACATCAATATTCATTTCCACTTTAATTTGAAATTTGATCACAAAATAGTCAAACAAAGAGATTTTTCTGTGTGAAACACTATCCTTTCTCTCTGTTGTTATTAAGTTTCTTTATGAAAGTATGTTAACATGACTCAACAGTTTGTTTTTAGAAAATTTTTGAAAAATGAACTATTTGAATTGTTGTAGAACTGTACACAAGCTGTAAAACCCTGAGTTAAGTGTCAGGAAAAAAGTGCATTTACTTTACCTCATAATTCGGACCATATTTCGCCTCCTGAAAAATATCAAGAAAATTAATCAAAAGAGTTAATATTTGTAGGAATAACACTGATTTATTACTATACTAAGAAATGATTGTCTTGTGTTATTTTTAGTATCCTATTCTTGCTTTGGCTACAGAATTCAGACAGACATGAAGTACTGACATGGTATCTTGGACTAAATTAGTCAAAAATACCAAGACTTTGGAAGAAGCACTGAGAAAGAGAAGTTCATTTAAAACCATCTGAGGGTTGCCACCTGTCTTAATAAACCACTTGATCTATGACCACTTCTTCTCAAGTTCTACCTTTTTCTGGCCCCAAGACCATAAACTGAGAACAGACTTGAGTCAAAATTTCAAATTATTATAACTTTTGAAATAATTTCAATATTGAAACAAAATTTTCATCATATATTTGAATTGAAATATTACATAACGTTGCAAATTTTTAAGCAAATACTTTCAATAAAAGTCAAGATAGTAAAAATCAAAATTTTGACTCAAGACTGTTCTCAGTTTATGGTCTTGTGTGTGTGTGTGGGTGGGGGGTGGGGGTGGGGGGGGGGGTGGGGGGGGTTGCAGTCTACGTTTTGTGAATGAAAAATCCAGGGTCGTGTATAATCTGTTTATTTTATTTTTTTTACGTTTATATGCATTCAAAAAGTAAATCAAAGAAAAGGCAATCAATGTTTTGAAAGAGTTCATATAATTTAATCTGATTGCAAACTACCTTAATTTAATGAAATAAATACTTTCCTTCCTTAGAATACGACTATTTTTAAATTATCTTTTTTCTAAAGAAAAGGATCCTTCATTAAGACAAAGTGATACACATTTTTTTTTATCACAAAATGGTAACCTGTAATCATAGAGCACCTGTTCTAAGTGGTCAAGGTCGTGACCCTGAAGTGAAATGTGAAGACCGGTGACTGTGAAATACATTTTGTTCCAGATTCTATGTTGTATTTACTTCCCAAAAATACTGCACAAGGTCCACATGTAGTTTGATTTATGCTGTTTGATTTATTCCTTGTGAGCAGCATGAACATCATGAATATATATATGAACATCACAGGACCAATATATATACCTTAGGGCAACATGATGTATACATTTACATAGAAATCAGACTTCACTCCTAAGTTAAGGGTTAGTACTCTGTTGTAAATCTATTAACTTTAACAAGATTGATTTATTGTTAGATTAATACAGTAGATTCAGTTGTGGTCTTTTTTCACTGCCTCCAGTTTATAAATTTGTGAAAATTCACACATAAATCTTCTTTATGATAAAAAAAAAACAAACTATAACTTACCTCAGTTGGTTCTCTCATGCCAGGGGTGGTCTACAAATGCAAAAAAGAAAGTGTTACAATTCTTACACCAATAAATGTCATTCTTTCTGTAACTTTCACTTTAAAAGCTCACAAATTACTAAACATTACAATTGTAGAAGGACACACCACTGCAAAATTTAAAACAATACAGTTTGAGTTTAAGCTGACACATAATAAGTGAACAATATATATACAATATGTACATCTATATATGGTACAGTTCATTTTGTCCCATTGTAAGAAATCCCTGACTGGTAAGAGAAGCGTGCCCAGTCAGTGAGTGTCCGCTATGATAATTCAGAGGAGACCGCTACTGGTTATCACCTGAATGAGATCACATCCTGCGGCCAGCTGAGTTATGTCCGTGATGGGGAATACAGTATACTGAGGAGTAAGGCCTAGCATTTCTTCTAAATTAATCCCTGCCATACGGACCTTCCCGAATCACTATCAAACAACAAACCTAAATGTCCTAACACAGTACTGAACAGCACACCCCTATAGGTAACACAGACTTGTACAATATGGCTTCACTGACTCACGTCAACTAATTACATTCAATTACAGTCGACAACAGAAAAACTAAAAGTACCCAGCCTTGTTTGTTATTAGAGTTCCATTGTTCTGAAAATTCAACTGTCCTATTATGTTGAAAATCTAACAAAGTTTTTGTTAATTTACTCTAAAATTGCCCTATTCTAAACAATTGAATGTCTGACTTCAGAAGTAAATTGCTCTGTTCTGAGTGGAATGTAAACCAAGAGGATCTACACACTAGCAAATAATATTATCTACTGTCCTTTTTTACTCACAGTGACCAAATAAGTCTCTCAAACTTTCAAGCTGACCAAATAAGTCTCTCAAATTTTCAAGATGACCAAATAAGTCTCTCAAACTTTCAAGCTGACCAAATAAGTCTCTCAAATTTTCAAGCTGACCAAATAAGTCTCTCAAATTTTCAAGCTGACCAAATAAGTCTCTCAAACTTTTCAAGCTGACCAAATAAATCTCTCAAACTTTCAAGCTGACCAAATAAGTCTCTCAAACTTTTCCAGCTGACCAAATAAGTCTCTCAAGTTTTCAAGCTGACCAAATAAGTCTCTCAAACTTTTCAAGCTGACCAAATAAGTTTCTCAAACTTTCAAGCTGACCAAATAAGTCTCTCAAACTTTCAAGCTGACCAAATAAGTCTCTCAAACTTTTAAAGCTGACCAAATTTCTTTGTAGACCAATTTATTTTCAGTTAGTTAGTGATGATATATTTCTGTCCTATGTTGATTTTTTAAAAGAAAATTTTTAACACTAAAATTCAGACATTTCACATAACTAATTTATCATGTTGATCTGGAGTAATTAGTAAATATATGACGTTACAGCATTATACACCCCCATCCCCCCTTAAATCTTTCTATAATTTCTGTTACTTTGTATGTTAATTGCTAGAACATATTATCGTATAAATTAACACACTTTGTGAAAATATCTGCATAAATTCCTCATGATCAATAACAAATGTTTAGATTCTGTAATATAGGGGGAATGGGTTCATGTTCAGAAAAAGAAGCGTACCCTTTTTGAATAGGAGTGAAACGGTTCACCGCGGTATCGATTCACCGCGGTATTTTTTCTCGGTTTGATACACGGTGCAAAATCTCTAATTTTCATTCGGTTCATTTTTCAGTCGGATCGTTATTCAGTCGGGTTTGGCATAAGGTAAAACACGTTACTCAGCATAAATAAGTATAGAAAACATAAATTTTTGATGACTGATTAAGTTTGTAAAATAATTTTTGACAGTCAAAAAATTCTAATCAATTTCTTCTAGTCAATTTGCAAATAAACATTCGTAAATTAAGTGACTAGATTTAGTAAAAGAAAGCATAAAACAAGGTTGAATTTGTTTCCTTCTATCAAAATGTATCGTATCGAAAATAACCATACCGAGACAAAATTATACAATACGTATCGAACCGTGAAGGAGGTGTATCGTTTCACCCCTATTTTTGAATCTAGTGAATATTGATCCTTTCTGCTGACTTCATGTAAACAAAGTTTTTGTCCTCATTGAAGACAAATTTATTAGAAATTGTAAGATTAATGAACTCCCATAGCCTCTCATCTAAAGTACAGCTAAATTTGCTTTATACTCTGAAATGATGAACTAATGACTAAAGTAGTAGTTACATGTAAGCACATCTTTACAAACAAAAAATTAAACTATGCATCAATTTTCTCAAGCAATGCAATTGATACATATTGATACTTTAAAAAAAAAAGTTCAATGGCACCCCACTGGTTAAAAATAATTGGGTTGATTCTTCTTTCATAATTTCTTAAAGAAGTTTTGGGTTTTGATTTTAATAACACAAGAAGTTCTAAAATGAAGAGACAGCTAAACTGGATTACTTTTCTTATCCAAACAATTGTGGACATAGAAAAACTTTCGAAATTAATAAATTTGTAACATTAATAAAACTTCTGTGTTCCATAGTTTACCTCGTGTATGATTTTACAGCTTTTGCATGGTCCTATCTGTCCAAACAAGGCCATAATCAAGGTCTCTGTTACACTGGGGTCAAGGTTACCCACATACCTGGAAAGCAAATCAATAAGATAAAAATCCACCTGTCACACTGGGGTCAAGGTTTCTCACATACCTGGAAATCAAACCAATAAGATTAGAATCCTCATTATCCACCTGTCACATATCTGGAAATCAAATCAATAAGATTAGAATCCATCTATCACATTGGGGTCAAGGTTACCCACATATCTGGAAATCAAATAAAACAAAGAGATATTTGTGAAACCCCCCCCCCTCCCCCCCTGGACATACATT